TTCCCATATATAGATAGTGTTGTAGAGGAACGGGTCGTTTCGAAGTGGACACCACATATGTCTTCTTGCGTCGCGTGCGTCCCAACCAATCGGCGAACTGAACCACATTTGGAACCGTTGCCGACAATAACACTAAACTGCACTCTTGTGGCAACAAAATGAACACTTCTTCCCAGACGTGACCCCTTTCGGGATCGTTCACGTAATGGCACTCATCGAACACCACATACTCTAACTTATCGATCACTTCCGACCTGTTGTACAACATTTGCAGCAATATTTCGGTCGTCATTATCAGACACTTGGAGTCGGTGTCGATCTGAACGTCGCCTTCAATTAAATGCAATAATAATTTCAATACAATTAGACATTCAATACAATTGAGTGATGAGTTGACAGACCTGTGAGAAGTCCCACATCTCCGAAGTCCTTCTTAAAGTCTCTGTACTTTTGATTAGAGAGTGCTTTAATAGGAGAGGTGTAGACGACGCGGGAGTGCGAGCGGAAGGCCATAGCGATGGCGTAGTCGGCGACCACAGTCTTGCCGGCGGAGGTGTGCGCCGACACCAACACATTTGAATGTCTCTCCAGATGTATAATCGCTTGCATTTGAAACCAATCCAACTTAAAAGCAAACTCTTTGGCCGCTCTGTGGCCCACCTCTGCTTCAAACTCGTGGTCCATGTCTTTGTTTGGATCCAATACTACCACGTATTCGCTTTCCATTGTCTTCTCACTTCTTCCACTTCTTCGCACACTTAATGCTAATTATTTTAATACAATTTTGTTCAACAGTTTATCACTAAATACTTAAAACTGTTTGAATTATAACTGAATTGTTAATCAAATGTTAATACAAACAATGTTTTACTGTTAACTGTAATAACAGTCAGTTTTGTGTCTCAAAAATAATGTCCACATTTGTGGCCAAAAGAGTCAACCATTGCTTACCCTATAATGCAATCTATTATTCAATACAACTCTTATTGTATTCAATATTTGTCGTAATTTATGGCCATTTATTGGCAACAGATGTCAGAAGTAGTGATGATTTGATGGAAAGTTAGTCAAAATAGTTTCAAAATTGGTTACAATTTTCAAATCAAATGTCTTTTTATTTGAATAAATGTTTTGCTTTTGAATCAAAACAAAGAGTTATAACGAGAAGAATATTGAATACAAGACCTCATGAAACACGTGGAAGACATGGAAGACATGTGAGAAGATATACCACAGGAAGTGATGTTTTGAATGATAGTTGTGTTGTTTACTCTCAATGTTTGGACATTTTTGGCAATTTGTCTCTCGAAGAATGGATGTATCGCAACATGTGTTTGAAGGGAAGCGCTGGAGTGATGTTGATGTGGAGGAATGGGCCGTCAGTTGTGGTGGGAAGACATCAGAACCCATGGTTGGAGACACGTGTGTCTGCGTGTGAGGGGCGGGGAGTGTGTGTCAGTCGGCGAAACAGTGGCGGCGGAACTGTTTATCACGACTACAATAATCTCAACATTAGTTTCATTTCTCACAAAACACTTTATAATCGGTTCAAAAATTTAGTTTTTATTCAAAAGGTTTTGTTAAATAAGTTTAACATTGATTTGGAAATCACTGAAAGAGAGGATTTAGTGTTACGTCAAA